CTCCTTTTATCCCTACTTGCTAGAAAACGGGTTTAGAATTGCAGCCAGACAGTCATGCTCCCAGACCCCTGGGATCTTCTGATTCTAAGATTCATTACTTCCACCTATTCCTAATTCAAACATCCTTGGTAAGCAAAGCTGCTAAGATGGCCATTAAACCACACAACATCTGTAATGTGGACAGAGTGAGTACTAAACCACTGGACCATTTCTGCTCACACTGTTAAGGCTTGTTTTTCACAAAGAGCAGCTGCACCCCCTGTGCACACACAAAATTCCTGAACACAGAAAAATGGAAATCTTGGAGGTCAGTCTCAATACTGAGATGTCTCCTTCCATCAGCAAACAGGCAGGGTCTTAATTAGAAGATTCTACCTGTGGAAGGGGCCATTTCACTCTCATCAGACCACCTGGTAGAGCAAGAACAATTGGGGAAAACTAGGTGTCAGAGAGAAGGATTCTAGTTCTGCCCTCTCCCTGACATACTAGTTTTCTATGTGTTTGGGAATTTATTCTCTCCTCCCATTACCCCCATGGAAGAGCAATTCCATTCATATCAATTCACACATTCAATCTCAAGTGATATAGTCAGGATACAGGTATATGACCTCATTGGATGTTTGAAAGAACTAGATCCAAGAGGCCTCATTTACAGTCAAGGGATGTTGTCTGTGTATAAAAGATTTCCTTTTCCCTGCTTACTTCCGATTTCCCACAGTTAAAGCACTTCCAAATAAAGGCTCTTTGAGGCCCCTGAGCTTATAAATTAGCAAAGCAACACTCAAAGCATTAGCAAAGATGTTCTACTCAGGGGTGGGGAATCGGCAGCTGAAAAGACCCGAAGAAATACAGCTAAATCAAAGCAAATTAAAAATCCAGAGTAGGCGAGTCTCTTCCAAAGCGGGATCCAATGTTGCCCATCAGAAATACCTTTGGGTTTGGCCAAAAATGCATCTGAATAAAAAAATGTGATGTGCCAAGAACAATTACATTGGCCTTTGAAGCAAAATGTTGTGGTGGTATAGCAGTCCAATCCGAATCATGTCTACTCAGATGTAAATCCTATTGAATTCAAGGGGGGTACTCCCAGGTAAGTGGGGTTAGGATTGCAGCCTTAATACTTATTAAATAGCTGAGTTATACAGGGAATTTTGGAGGAAGATGATATGACAAGAGGGAGTAAGAGACCCACTGATTTAATATTGCTTCCAATATGGTTTTCACTAGACAAGCTGGATCATGAATCTGTGGAGGCTTCCTTCACATTTTAGAACCCATAAAGGTCCAGGGAAGGAATCATCTCCATGAATATAGGGGGCTTCAAACTCAAGTGGTTCACCCTCCAACTTCTGAAGGGCTACTAGAATGGAAACGTGGGGAGTGGATCTGCCCAACTCCTGTGCTTTGAGGACCTAGGCTAAGGTGGGAGCACCATGCATGGAAAAGCAATTCCCAACCAAAAATGCTAGACTAGCGGGGGGCGGGGGGCAGCGGCTTTGCCTCTTGATTCTAGGCTTCTTCACACATTACACTGAACACAGGTACAAGCACTATTTACACCTGGTACAAGTGTGTACAACTGTTGATCTGCACAGGTTGTACACAAGTTCACAGATTATCTCCATTTCTTATACATGAATAACTGTTCAGCTGTCAGGTACACAGGTTGTACATTTGTTGACTGCAACTTGTGAACACCCCTTCTATAAACTAAGTCTGGGAGTCACTTCCCCATTCCCACAAATTTGTAACAACTAATTAAGATGTTCCTTTTAGACCTCTTGGATGAGACTGAGTTTTGAAATTTTGCAAAGTGCTCTGACAATTTAATGGAAGGGAGAAATATAAATCCCTGACATAACACATACATACACTTATCACAATGATGAAGCTTCATTTTTTAAAATTAATACAGCGCTACTAATATGCAACATGAATTTGCCATCCTTTCCCCAAACATTCCCATAAGAAGTCTGTGGACACATCAATGCAATCTGCATTGTGCCACATGCAGGCTTTACACCAAATGATTATCACAGATGAGCGGCAAGCTCTTGATTTTCCCTTTATGCACACGAGCTCGGAGTTACGTTCAAGCAGCAGAAGAGATGAAGCTGCCCCGTTCCCACCATTTCTGGAAAAAAAAGTAGAAGCCAAGACATCCCGAGGCAATTACACACACAAAAATAAAGCAAAATAATGGCGCGCGCACAAACCCAGCCTTCCGTAAATTACTGCATGCCCTCAGGCTGTGATGAATCGGGCTCAGAAAAACTCAGAAAGCCCATTGCTGGCGTGGTCCTCCTGGCTCAGTCTTTGTTAAAGTTAATCAATCTGACAGGTACCTTCATACTCACATGCGGATAATAAATCAAGTAAATCAACGTTCTCCCCACTGCCACCGTTCAGCTTGAAGTCCCAGCAAAATCCACATTAAGATGGATCTTTTCTGGCATTAAAGCATTGGTGGCGGCTATCTGTCCACAAAGAGAGTGTGATGGCTGAAGACAACTGATTAACACAAATATAATCTTTCAAAGTAGTCGCTTGGGGAGTCAAGTTGCTTCATACACACACACACACACACACACACACACACACACTTGACTTCTACCATTCCCCCCAGACCTCTCCTTGAATTTATAGAGAAGGGCTTAGTGCCTCCTAAAGTATCCTGAGTTTTTCTGGTAAGCTGCCATCAAAGCTAACACACAAGTAACATAACCCCTGTGTGAATTTTAAGCCACGGTCATTTGATTCCCTTTACTAAGGTAGTAATGGGCTATGCGGAGAGGCTGGGGAGGGAGAAAAGGAAGTCATAATGGTTTTTAGGAGGCGAGGGGAAAACAACCCTGTAATAGATGGGCAACAGTGTTGGAACTAAAGCTGTTCAGCAGATCCACGCCACTGATCACATTACTGAATAATAATAATAATAATTATAAAACAAGCTCTGGCGTTTCTACAACGCTTTTTACCACCTCTGACTACATAGCGGACATGCTGCCAAGGCAAGAATAAAAAAAAAACTGAAGATGAGCAGGTACTATTATGGAATGAAGATGAAATATGGTTTCATTCCATGGGTTGGAGCTCAGCTGTCTGGTGGACAAGTCTAGCTGTGACACAAGAGGGAAATTTAGTATATATATATATTACAAAGAAGAGAACTGACATATTGGATGATTTCTTATAGCCACCCACTTCCCCCAGAATCATGTTTTGGGGTTTTTCTTTTTTTCTTTTGGCAAGTATCATTGGAAGTGCAGGTGTCTTAAAGCATAAAAAGGGAATGGGCTACAGGCTGGGAGATGCTTAAGGGTCATCAAGAGATCTGCCATTGATACTTTCCTAGGGAAGGGTTTCATCCAGGCATATGGCCATATGGACAAACAAAAGGAGTTATTTCCCCCCTCCCCACATCAACTTAATTTGTTGCACAAGAGGCCTTAATCTGTTCCCAACTTTTGCTCAAGTATGTTGCTCACTTGAAGCTGTCCATGGTCCAGCAGCCTTGCATTTTCCCTTGTGTTTCTGAAATCGGACCAGAACACGAGAACTGAGGACCCACCAGGAGGCAAGGTTGAGGAGCAAACAAAAAGTCAGTGAATGAATAGCTAAGGATGCAGGGAACACGCCAGAGATCAAGAAGACCTCAATAAAACATTGTTGCCCTATATTGGATGGAAGGCAGGTTTATAAATGTACAACTGAATGAGCAAATGGCTGAATCACTTCATTGTTAGTAATAGTAATACCTTCTCTCAGCACACAATGGATGGATAGATTTTCTGTTTCTGGTCCAATAAGTTTTGCACTTGTTCATTCAATAGCCTGTTTCATCCACTTCTGAATTAAGCTGTGGGTTTTGTTTCTAAAAGTACTGTTTAAATATGTGTTTTATCACAAACTACATATTTAAATAACAGATTTCATCTCAGCGTGTGTATTTCCAAAAGTGCCTTACTCTAAAATGTACATTTTGAATACATTTCGCTAAGTCTTTTTGCACTGAGAATTATATTGCAAAATTTGGAGAAGTGCAAAATTTGAATAACAGTTTTATTCTACTCTGCACATCAACCCAGGAGGTGACGAACAGATTGTTGGAATCCACAGAATTCAAAGGAACAAGATGCACAGCTTAAAACTGACATATGTGAAATGGTCTGAGATTCTTAAACGGCACTATTTTACATGATGCACTTGAAATAATTTGCAATTCCTGCAAAAGAAAGCAGAAGCATTTGGCATAGGAAACTGACGTGATATGCCTTACCTGAGTGCTTGCCACATTTGTGCCATCAGTGACTTCCACAGTCATGTTGTACACGGACCTCTGCTCAGCATCCAAGGGCTTTGCGATGACAATGGTCCCCACACCTTTGTCTGCGTCGAAAGAGCTCTCGAAATTCCCCCCTAGTTGTTGCAACATAAGGCACAATTAAATCTCTGGAATGTTTTTGTTTTTGTTGTTGTTGAGAAACAACACCTAGAGACCAGGGTATGGTAATTTACAGAGAAGCGCTGCACATAACATGCACTGCACATTTAGCAATCATTGTTCTAAGCTAATTTTTTCCTTTCAAGCATCATTTGTACATTGTAAAACAGATGTCATAAAGGAAAGAAAGGGGGGATAAACGAAACAACCCATACTGCAGACAAAAGATTCAGCAATGCATCCAAGCGAAGCATAATTGATTCCTTAAAAAGGCTTTACAAGGCTATTAACCTACAAAGACTGATGCCCTCGTTAGTACGAACAAGCGCTTCCCCTCCTTCCTGTGATATTAATTTGGGAGCAAGATTCAAGTGTTATTTGTATGTCAATTCTGAGAAACTCACCACCAGGGCTACCTGCACCGTTTTTAAAGCAATCTGACTAATTAATAGTCTACTTGTGCCCCCCACAAAAAAACTACCCATGAGGTATCACCCATCTAAAGAAGCTGCCTTAAGATTATTTGCCCAATAAGACCGCTATTGGCTATTTTGACTGGCCCAACGTGGGGCTCAAACCCACGACCCAGAGACTGAGGGTCTCATGCTCTACCAACTAGGCAATCCCAGTAGATCTCCAGGGTCTCATGAGAAGTATCTCACATCACCTCAACTGCAGACTGAATGTGGAACCTTCTTCAAGCGAAACCTGAGGCAGATTCACTGATCTGTGGCCCTTGCTGTCAAGGACACGTATAAGAGCTGGTTCCTAACATCCTGTCACATTCTAGCATTACCAACATAATCAGGTCACAGCAAATTAAGGGAGGGTCCATGCAGATAGGATGGGGTCACTAGGAGTGCAAAGCGGGTTTAGCCCCCACACTGATGGGGTGCCCTTGAGTGCAACACTTTACTTTCTTCCAAGTAAGTGCATGGCCTTCAAACACTCGCCCCCCCCCCAGTGAGGAAAACATAAAACGCTACACTATGTACCGTATTTTTCGCTCTATAAGACGCACCAGACCACAAGACGCACCTAGTTTTTGGAGGAAGAAAACAAGAAAAAAAATATTCTGAATCTCAGAAGCCAGAACAGCAAGAGGGATCACTGCGCAAGGAAAGCAGCAATCCCTCTTGGTGTTCTGGCTTCTGGGATAGCTGCACAGCCTGCATTTGCTCCATAAGACGCACACACATTTCCCCTTACTTTTTAGGAGGGAAAAAGTGAGTCTTATAGAGCAAAAAATACGGTATTTCTGTTGTTGTTTCTATTTATTAAATTTGCATACCACCCTTCATCCATAGATCTCAGGGCGGTTCACAACATAGAATTACAACATAAAAAACACAAAAAGCATAATAACAACAAGAACCAAAACGAAACAATAATCCCCTCTCTCACGACACATTTAAAGGGCATTGGACGTCAATCAGCCAAAGGCCTGATTGAAGAGGAAGGTTTTTACCTGGCGCCTAAAGATGTATAATGAAGGCACCAGGCAAACCTCCCTAGGGAGAGCGTTCCACAAACAGGGAGCCACCGCAGAGAAGGCCCGTCCTCGTGTTGCCACCTTTTGGTAGCTTTTGGCTGTACAACCGTTTATAAATTGGCAAACAGATGCATAAATATTTGTGGGAACGGGAACCGTTTCAAACACTCAAGCACATCTGGAGCTCGCTAACAGAGGAAGCAGTGATGGCCACCAACCTAGTTGGCTTTAAAAAGAGGATTACACAAATTCATAGCTATCACAGGCTAGGAGAAAGAATGGCTATGGCAGGGTCTCTGCTTTCTTTCTTCCCTAGTTACTTTTTTTAAGGGGAGTGGGGCTTATACTACAAGCAGAGGCAGCAGAAGCTACAGTAACCCTGTTGCTTGAAGCCTGACTTCTGATCTGCATCCTCGAGTATCTTGGAACCAGTGACGGAAAGGGGTGTTGAGCAAAAGGAAATTTTTTAATGGGAGGGGGGGAGCCTTTTGAGAATTTTCAGCTCAGCTTTAATGTACCCCCCCACTCTCTCACCCATCACAATGGCAAGTCTTTCGCTAGTCATAAATACCGGGCTGTAGGGTTCAAATCGTAAGCCTCCCGAGAAGGCACTTAATCCACAATCGGCAGCAAATTATTTATTATTATTAAAAAAATCTTCCCTATTTAAATTAATAAGAATCTGGATTTCTTTCATGTTTTAACACAAGACGCCTGCTGACTCAAGTTATGCGTTGAACCTCAGCTAAATTAAACTGGGAAAAGGGGGGGGAACCATATTTCTGTGACTCCTCCCCTCCTCACATTACTTTTTATTAAAAGTACAGATTTGACGTGAATGGGGGAAAGCCCCCACCCCACATGGTACGAGAGAGAGCCATCAATAACCCGGGACTAACAAAACGGGTCATTATGTTCAGAAACGCAACTAATCAAAAGGAACCGCAGTTGATTTCTTGTCCCCTGAACCTCCCAATGAAATAAATCCATTGCAACTGTATGTTTCCTGGAGATGGTAGGATTGGGGGGGGGGGATGTGAGAGAGAGCTGGCCAAAGCTCCCCCCACCCCCCCGTTTTAACTGAAAAAGCAAAACAGATTAATGAATCATACTGGCCTCATCCTTCAAATGGCCGTGCTGCGTCAAATCGCATGCTGAGCACTGGGAAACGAGGGTGCTCACACCACTTCGGAGGTAGCTCAGTGGCTTTCAGAATGAGCACGCACAGCGGGGGAAATTTTAACCCATTGATTAATATCACCCCCCTCCAGCAATTCTACTGAACATTTGTGCACTGGCGGGGGGACGGGGGACCCAACTTTATCGCTTTTTAAACCTTCCTGGGTGAGGGAGGGCAGAGAATGAAAGGGTTTCTCTTTTATTTCGACATTGCAATTTATGCTGATTGTTCGCCGGAATTAATAACACTGAGGGGGTAACTGCATGTTTAACCCAATGATACCCCCCCCACTCCAATAAAATAAGGCTGTACTCATTTCTGATGTGCCGATCACCTGAGTTGCAACAAACCAGGGAATCAAAATAATGCCTTAAATTATGAGTTAAGCTCCTGACAGCCTCAGGACTCAACTCAACCCCTAGGGGTTTCCCATCAGGTGTTATTAACCCCCCCCCGAAAAAAATAATGCAGTGCAGTTGCTTTTTCCTGCACCGGCGGATACAATAGCTTTTTAACTCTCTGACCCCTATTGTGAAGGCCCGTGACGCTTTTGTAAGACACGCACTCTTGTTGTAAAATGCACCTCAGGCACGAAAAGGGTTTTAAAATCCACTTTTAACAGAGCCTATCTCACTGTTCCTCCTTCAGCCGTCTCTGCTCTGTGCAGATTCAGGTCAATGGAAATGAGCAGGAATCCATTTCAGTTTCACCTGGGATGAAGGGGGTTCAAAAGACCTTATTGCCTTTATCTCGCCCTGGGATGGCAGAACCAGTGTTATTGGCCTGGCAGGACTGCCATCAAATTTAGTGGACAAACACAGACTTTAAATAACTAAATACTATACCAACTGCACATACACACAACTAGTAATAATTTCAGTTTATCTTAAGGTTCAGTTGGATTCCATCTAGCAGGCATCAAATCTGGACCCATAGTGATCAAAAGGGGCCCAGTCAAACTGGGAGAGCCGCCATTTTAACAAGCGGCAGGAATGTAGACTTGTGGGCATGTGTTTTAATTTGGTTTTTGGCTTACTGTTGGTTTTAATTATTTTTGAATGTTTTAAATACTTGTTTTAAACTGGTTTGTTTTTTAAAAAAACAAAACAAAACTGAGGGTTGTATTGTTTTATTCTTTCTGTATACCACTTGGAAGTTTACAAGCAAGTAGTATATAAATAATAAAAAATAAACTCTACCGAAACCAAGAACAAAAGAGAAAGTGGGCTCCGCCATTTTCATTAGCTTGAGATCCAGCAGCAGAAACCTGTTAAAAATCCCCAAGAAGATGAACAACTGGAAAAAAACTCCTTTTGCACAGCAGGAGCTGCCTTAGGACTTATAATCTAGGCCACAGGAAAGAGACTTTGAAGCTGCACAACAGACAATTTACCGTCCAACATGTTTTTTTATGGGGTTTTTTTTAGTACTGGAACTTTTCCTCAGAGGTGACTCTTATGCAGTTACTTTAAAGATAAATCAAAACTGTCTTCCACACTAGTTATTTTCAGATTGCTCCTTTCGTTTCCGGCTTCCGCACAAAGCAGAATAAGATAGTATTCTGAGGTAGCAGAAATTTTGGTCTGTCACCGCAACAGATGGCAGAGACCATTTCTGAACAGGTGCTTTACCAAACACAGGGAGATTTATTGATATGGGGGGAGGCGCGTTCAAAAACCTGCAGACTAAACTATCCACCCTACACCTCAGAGGTCTTCCACCTCATTTTGCTGCATGTATGGCTCAGACCAGAGTTACTTCAAATTGAGATACACTTGGATCTGAGTCTAGGTCTGAGGGAGGGGGACCATTTTCATCCTTGGGGCCACATTCTGTCCTGGGCAACCTTTTGAGGTCCACATACTAGCACTGGTCAGGGCCAGAAGCAAAAAGTACGCAGAGCAATGAATACATGCAACAACTATTACATGGAGGAGTTCAGTTTCTGGCCCCCATGCAAACTGGAGGAGCATGGCCTGCCCCATTACGCCCTGTTCTGCCCTCTTCTTCTGGGTCTAAAGGGTTCTGTGTGTCGGTGATTGCGCATCAATTTGACAAAATGGCCGCCATCTGTGTCATTTTTTTTACCACTGCACACAGGGCCAGATTTAGGTTTGATGAGGCCCTAAGCTACTGAAGGTAATGGGGCCCTTTAGATGTCCAGTTGTCCTTTGTCAACAACAAATTGCCGCTGTTTTGTGTGTGTTGAATATATGCTATATGGTAATTTATGGACCTAATAGGTATCTAAAGCCATTTGCACATGTTGCCATGCAACCAGTCCATGCAGAATGTAGGCACCCTATATATAGAAAGGAGCAAACCAGTGATATTTTAGGGAGCAGGCTAGCAGGCGGGGCCCATGACTTACATCATAGGAGCCTACACAGCAGAAAACACTGTTGCTGTATGTAGGTTTTATTTTATTTGTTTTTTATGTTATATTTTGGAAATGTACATCCAGGTTTTTTCCCTTTAATTTTTTTTGGGGCCCCCAAGGAAGTGGGTGACGCTGTGGGTTAAACCACAGAGCTGAGGACTTGCCGATCATAAGGTTGGCGGTTCGAATCCCCGCGACGGGGTGAGCTCCCGTTGTTGGGTCCCTGCTCCTGCCAACCTAGCAGTTTGAAAACATGTCAAAGTGCAGGTAGATAAATAGGTACTGCTCCGGCGGGAAGGTAAACGGCATTTCCGTGCGCTGATCTGGTTCGCCAGAAGCGGCTTAGTCATGCTGGCCACATGACCCGGAAGCTGTACGCCGGCTCCCTCGGCCAATAAAGCGAGATGAGCGCCGCAACCCCAGAGTCGGCCACGACTGGACCTAACGGTCAGGGGTCCCCTTACCTTTTAAGGAAGTGGGGCCCTAAGCTATAGCTTGTTTAGCTTATACGTAAATCCATAGCCGTCAACGTTTCCCTTTTTTAAGGGAAATTCCCTTATTCCGAATAGGATCCC